TTTTTTTTTTTTTTTAGAAGAGAGGAATTTTCATTGCTAAATGAAAAAAAAAAAAAGGAGCTAGACACTCCAGTCACCTAAAAACATCCACTTGAAAACCAGCATAACATTGTCTTTGGATCACGAAAGGATGACCCTCAAAAATCAAAGCTAAGAGATCAAAGACATTATAAGGCAAAGCCACACTCAATCCAAAAGCTTCAAGCATACTACTCCAGTAACCATAAGCAAAAGAAGAACACCCAAAGAGGTCACCTGGAGTCTCAAAACGCACGTCCAATTACACTCCAAGAAGGAAATAAAGAACAGTACATCATTCGACTTTTCAAATGATCAGCAGTAAGAAAAGAACTTTATTTCTTAGGATGAACATCTTTCCAAAGAACATAATAAAGATTGTTAGAAGTAGGAACAATATCTTGAATTAAATCCGCCATCAGAGAGCTAAAAGTATAAGCCTTTGATGAAAGCCAACTAAAGATAGTCAATTAAATCCAATCACACATCACCTCACTCGCTTCATTTTTACTTAGAAAAAATGATCCTACTCCCATTCAAACATCCTAACAACAGTTGAGATGTGGAGCCAGGCTGGAGGGATCTCCACATTAGAATTAAAATTCCTCTCCTTTTTAATATCTTGGGTGTCCAGACTGATAGTTATATCAACCAAACTGATCCTCCAATACAATTACCTGATGCTACTTTTTGATATCATGGCCTTCCAGACTGATAAAAATCCCTCTCTTCTTTTTGATACAGCATGCTTTAATTAATTTTGTGGGCAATGATTAGCACCTATAGTATTCAATACTACTAGAAAACTCATAGAATATTCAATCTCTTAGGTAGGTAGAAACCTTCGAACCCATAACCAGGGTTATAGTTTACCCTGTGAATAACCTAGCCAAACAATGATGACTGGTCACCATCGTTAATATTTGACACTAGGGAATCAATATTTGACATAAAGGAACTGAATAGGGCAATTAGGTGTTCAACTTAACCCATATCCCCCAAAGGCTTTTTTCGGCGTACAAGTACTTGTCGTTTGACCACTAGCAAACCCATATTTAAATTAAAATCCTAAATAGAGCTAACAATAATTTATATACAAACTCAACTCTAATAACAACTTCCATTCAGTCGAGATAATTAAAAACGGTCTGAAGGGCAAACAGAAATCATATAGAGAACATACTATTAGATGAGGAAGGAACAACTGACCATTTGTGTGACTCACACCAAGCGCAAGAAGCACCTCTAAATTTGTAGGGTCAACATCAAGTGCTCGCTTCATGGCTGCAATGGCCTGCAAATATTAATTTATAGATTAACCTTTTTGGTAAACAAAAATCAGAAATCAGGAGTTAATCATGAGATGGCACACCACAGTACCGAAAGTATAACTGTCATGAAAAGCATCAACTAAACTTGTAGGTCAGAAGTATTAGCATTGCTCATGTCAGGGAAAGTATTGGCAGTATTAAAAGCCGGCCTCTAGAGAACGGTTGAGCGTGTAATACAAATTGAGCAAGCCCCTTCGAATCTTCAGTTTTCATATATGAACACAAATTCTACATAACTGCTTCTTAAGGTTTTGAAACTCATGACAAAGCCAACTCATCACAGCAAACTAGTAGATCAACAGTTTTTCCCTTCGTTTGACAATTTTACTGAAGATTTAATATCAAATACCACGACTGAAAGACAGTGCTTTCAATTCAACAGTTCAGTTCACAATCCAGAAGAAACATAGAAGTTCTAGCATATTGATGTCCAACAAGTGCATTATTTGAAGATAATAATCCATACACAAATCTGTGAACCTAATCATTATGTATCAAAAATATAAAGTACCTATTTTTTTAGCAAGAAACAAAACTTTTAATTAAAAGATGAAAAAGAGATTAAAGCTCATAAGATACAAACTTCACGTGGGAATGAGAGAAAACAAGAAAGTATAAAGAAAAGATTACGATGGAAAATTACAAACAAGTCAATATAGAATAATAACAAATGACAAAAACTTAGCAATGGCCTGGGGAGAGAACACCATGAAGAAGACTTTAGCCTAGCAAATACAAAATGAACAATTCATGGAAGAAACTTGGCATCGAACAATCGTTGATTCCTTCCCATCCACAAAATTTTCCTCATCCTTCGAAAGTTTTCTAGAGACACTGATTCAAGAACTGAGATGTAAATCTCAGAAAACCAAAACTAATTTGCAGAAAGCAAAGAGCTAAAATTGCTTCCAGATTCTGGAAGAACTAAACAATGGCTTCTTAAACTGGAGCCATGATTTCCGGCAGTATGCCAATCAAAAGGGGAACGAATTCCAAACCATGAAAAAATTGAGATCTAGATACTGAATTCCAGCACACCAAATGCAATACCATTTCCACCCTCTTTGCCTTTCTTAAAAGAAGACATAGAAAAATCGATCCAATTCCAAGCTCACCTTGCCTGCAATCCATAAAAGTAGCTAACCTCCGGGACAGCCAAAGGATTCCACCTAAACCCAATTGATGCCTCCTGAACCCCATAAAGATTTTACAATCTTTTGAGCTACTTATAATTGAAATCTCAAATGAAAACTATCCAGGAAAATGGCATGTCTGAAAAAGTTTTGAGGGATGCAACATGAGGTCGACTAAGGCTTCTTCAAACCAAAGGAGTAGCCTGAGATGAATAAAAGTGGAAAAGGAAAAAAGCTGCCAGACTTCTATTCTATCGTGAAAAAAAAAAAAACTTTCTGCCTGCATAACTGCTAGACTCTATGAAATCTGAAAGAAACACCAACCAAATAATGAAAAAGATAATGAAGGATTATAGAACTATTGAGGCCGAGAACCAGAAAGATGATGATTGTTGAAGGTTGAAAGATGAAGAATTGGATGGCAGGGGAAGGAAAGAGGAGAGAGCAATTTTGGAACCTTACTTAAAAGGATTCCATTGGTAGCTTTTCACTTAAGTACCAATTTTATCTTCTATTTCTGACCATTTCACATCAAGAATGTTAGATTCCTAGTTGGTCTTATACGCCAGAAAATTATACATCAAAAACGTAAAATACCTGTTGATCATCATCATTTTCAGCATGTGCAATTCCAAGAAGCCTCCAACCTTCAGAATTTTCAGGGTTTTTCATAACCTCAGCCTCTAAAGCAAGCACTGCCTCACTCAGAAGGCCTTTACGGAACAGATCCTGGCCTTCCTTTAAAGGATTTGGATGACCAACATACGGGTTCATGTCAGAAAAGACATATATTCCGTTTGAAGCATCTGTCTTTCCCTTGGCAGCTACTTGTTCATTTAGAAACCTGTCGGTCAACATCAAAGATAAGTTTGTACAAGCATGAACTACCGATTCTCTTAGGAGAACTCAAAACATGTTGTTACATACCTACATATGTTGAAAAGAAAATCGTACAGACGTACAGAACTTTTAGACAAAATATATAAAAATTAAAAAAGAATATTGCTAACCACAAAATAAAAAACAGAACAAGTTGGTTTTTATATACAAAACAACGTAAAACAAGTTAATTTTGAATTAAGATAACACCACAATTTAAATTTTTAATTAGAAATGGTCGCATTAATAAAAACTATAAAAACGTCAGGGAATGTTCATTATCAGTCTAACCACCCAACGCTGAAGTTAAAGAATATTTGTTTTCTGAAGTTGTCGACGTGCTAAAGGAAAATAACTCTTAGTAGGCCCAAATTAAGAGAAAGAAAGAGAAATAATACGAGTTTACGTTATATCATAAAAAATAAAGCACCTGAAACTCAAAACATTTAACTACAACAAAAAATGTGAAACGACTTAAAATGAAATATTTTTATCATAGTAAAAGAAAAGAAAAAAAGACAAGGAATAATCAGTAGGACCTGGGGTTAAAATAGACAGCCGTCAAAATGTTGATTATGGCATAGAGCAGAATGCAGAAAATAACTTATAATAGACAGTAGCTTGCAGCATTACAATATAGTCACTCAGAAGTAAAATATCAGACTTACTCATCATAAGCATTCGCCCAATTATCAGCTTCTCCAGAAGCACCTTCTCCGACCTGCTGACCAAATTCTTCCACCCAGTCTTGCATGTGCAACTTGGAAAACTCATCAACCCATTGATCATCTGACGCATGCTGCTTCCCTTCAGCAAACTCATCAGCCCACTGATTAGTTTTGTTGGAAACCTGAAACCATTTTTTATTGGAAAAACTAAGTCTTGTAAAAGCATTAAAGTTCTATTTTTCATGGAAAACATAGATATATAATAATTAGCTAGGCAGGGTTGCGATCAAAAGACTGGAAAAAGGGCCAAATCATTAAATGCAACATAATTGGGAAGGGGAAGATAAGAGCTTAGGATTCAACTGTTTGCATGCATAGATACGTTTGTGTTGCATCAGTAAAGATCGTACTTTTGACTAAGGTGAGTTTGGGATAACTTCTAAAAAAAAAAATCAAATTCTTCTATAATCAAAGACGGCTGTCTAAATGTTGAAGGTGCGGCTATTCCTTTCTAATCATAACAATCAAAAAGAGCCCCAGATATATATAAAGCCATAGGAGGTCTTTTTCTTTCTTGAAAGGACGACCCACCAAGATAGGAAAAAAGAAAATTTGCATGGTGTTGTGGAGGGCCACTACCCAATTAAAGAGAGCCACGATAAAAGACAAAATTCTGTGGGCAAAGAAACATGTTTGAAAAAGATGATCTAGTGTTTCAGAGCTCTCCATGCACATAACACACCACAGCGATAAAGCTATAGAGAAGGGCACCTCTTTTGCATCAATCTAACTTGTACTCCTTTAAAACACATTCTCAAATCTCACTAAACTTCTGCCAAGAGTAAAGTTTGAAGATCTTAAGTCCAAGCTTCGCCTACAAATATCTATAACCAAGGTTGAGAGGAGCGTTCAAAGGGGTCCTTTCTCTAGCCAAATCCCAAGCCAACCTTGGGATCTTGCCAGATACTTTTACTGTTGCCCATAACTTGGTATAGCTGTAAATTAATACAAACACTCTTTCCTTTTGTTTACAACTCAACAAAGATAGAATAAGACTCTACTCTTTTAAACTCGGGCAGTAAATGTAAAGAAGGATATGGAAAGATGTTTTTCCTCGAGTAATGTGCATTATTAAAGACTTGCCTTCTCTTCACTTCTTCAAAAAGAATACTGCTACCTCCCATCAGAGAGAGAGATTTTCTTTTATTCTTACCTTAATTCTTAGAGCTATGTGCTTTGACAAAAAGAGGAAAGTACAGACCATTTCTTAATTCGTCCACATTTTACTAGAACTTTACAGAAAAATCTTTTAGAACTTTCGATCTTAATTGAGTGAGGGGTTTAGGAGATGGCGATGGGAACCTCTCCCTCCAACTCATACGGTCTCTTGTCCCAAAAAAAGGTACACTGCTGTGAACTAATTTGATTTTAGATATTTAAGTAATTTGCAAAGAGATAAGAGAATTTTGTTCATAAAGGTTATTGGGTGCACACAAACGAGTCCATGTATAAAACTTCTAAATTTACACAATTTCCAACGATTAGAAGCCAATGCTATAACTTCCTCAGCCCAAGCAGGTTAGGGCCGGGAAGCAAGAAGGGCTGCCCCAAAGTTTGTGAAAAGTTCAAAAACTTATATACATCATTTAAGATTCTGAAGTATCATCCAATTTACCCTCATAAATTTTAATAAATTGAAAAATTATACATACATAGATATGATAGTTTTGCCCTCATTAAAATTTTTGGCTCCACCCCTTGTTATGGGAAGGCTTTCTATCACCCTCGATGACATTTCATTCTTCAATTTTTTTTCATCAACGAATAATGAAAACAGAATAAAAAAACATAAAACATGAAACAAAAACAAAAACAAACAATAAACTTTTCATGAAAACACCCATCCACCTGACAGATTGTCAGATTGTGGAGTGGGAAGTAAAGGGATCCATTTTGTGTCATGACTTACAAATTCATCAGCCCAGGGAAGACCTCCACTATATTGTTGCTGGTACTCGGAAGCCCAGTTATCTGATGGAGATAAAGAGTTTGGCTTGACTTGATTATCATCAATAATGAGTTCACCCCTACTCATCTTTGAAACAAACTGAAGAAACTTTGAGTTCTGCATGTCAGATGGGTCGAATATCAAATTTAGCATTTTTATAATAAACTTGATGTAATTTTGAAGAGCAAGACCAGCACCCACAAGAAGAACAAAAAATAAAACACCACCTACTAGAAGAATATCAACAAGAATATTTTAAAATGTTGCATACAAATAAGAGAGAACCATGAAGCCCTCAAAAGTTCCCTAAAAACTGAACTATGAACAAAAAAGAAAAAAAGAAAATCCTAAACAATCCAAAAATAGCTAAACATTAAAAGCTTCTAATACATCCTAAACTTTTGACTTTGATTCTGAACGGTTTCTACCAAGAACATCGTTACATAATGTTAACAAGACGCTTTAATTTGACTAAGTGGTGGTATGAGTATGGCATACTATAGCACAAGAGAGTAGGTCAGTTAGACAAAATAAAGGCGGGGGCTATAAATTTTGATGGGGTGGGCAGGTCGAATACATTACCCTTATTTTATCCAACGACCCAATCCTTATGTCATGTTATGTCAAATCATCACTCATTGGACTCCAATCAACAAATTATTTACCATTTAAGTAATGGTGTTAACAAAATGACTTTCAAGGATCAAAATAAAAGCAAAAACATAATTGAAACTTAAGACTGGGGAACTAAATAGACACGGCATTAAGGAATAAAAACATAATTAACCTAGAACTTAAGGCAATTACATGAGATGCCCATGTTAAAATAAAACCAGAAAAAATAAATGTTAATAAAAGGTCGAAACCAAAGACTAATAGGAACTATTTAAAATTGAAGAACCATGTTAAAGAACAAAGGAGAGGCAGGATAATGAAAACTAGTCATTTATCCGTCAGCAAGCATATACTAAATATCTAGAACCACCTAACAAACAAAGATATTCAGGGTGCTAGTCATATTGTTGCATAATACAAGAATGAAGGTACTCCAGAAAAAAGCCATTAGTTTGACCTTGGGTCTTGTTTGGAAGACAATTACTATAGTGTATACCGTCATACAACCTGTTTTTTTTTTAAAAAATAATTTTACAACGTTGCCAAACCTAATTTATCATTCCAATTGTTTGTCGATGTTTGCTTTTGTGTTGCACTCTCATCAAATGCGGAAGGAAAATGAAAAACTTTAGTTATGTTTTAGATGAATGAAATACTAAAATCATGATAAAAGAAAAAATATCAACCTGAAACTTCGGGTCGTTATTTTCAGCTAATGTATTTGCAAGCTTGCGAGTCTGTTCCATTGCAGATAAGTTCATCATATTACCACCTGCCATTTGTTGGGCCGATGCTAACTGAAACTTCTCCTGCAGTAATATATCAAGAGAATTACAATTCACAACCCATGGAGTCCAATATAGTTATTATAATTGACTGAGTCAAATAAGGCATTGTGCATACAAAATCATTTATTATACAAACCAAGAGTGAGGGGCATATAAATACACATATTTTCCGAAGGTGTTGAAAACAAGGTCCCGTAACACAGGCCACAGAGTAGTCGGTAGTGGTCAACCAAGAAATAAACTGCTCAAAACTATATTAAGCAGCTTCATCATAGTCTAAACCTTAAAATGAAAGAGGCAAGATAAATAACTCAGTATAACCAGCTTGCCTAACATGCTAAAATAACTCTGTATGACCAAGTCTATTGCAGAAGCCGACTAAACTTCACAACTCAATATCCAACAGAAAGTTATTAATTAATTTAATAACTATCAAGGACTTCAAGTTCATGATTTGATGCCAACCGAATGCCAGTTTCATGGTTATCATTCAAAAAATGATTGTCGGCTAATCACTCGAACTCAAAGCATGAATAAAAAATTATCACAAAAAAGTTAACCAAGGCACCAGCCACAGATCATGTACTATGGGTTCATCAGATAAAAAACCATCATTATAGGTGCAACTTGTAGGACAAGCTGCAGCACCTTACCTGCTCAAACTCGGAGGCCCAACCATTGGCACCGTATTGTTGTTCAAAGGATTGAGCCCAACCCTCATGATTAGCATATTTTTCCCTGTTTAGGCTATATTCAGAAGCCCATCCATCTGCAATATGACCACCAGGTCTCTGTAGAGCTTGAGATTCGTTCCAATAATCCTCCAACTCATGAAACCTACCAGGTTGAAACCCCTTAACCTGTTTACTGCTGTCAATATCTAAGGAAGATAGAAGTGCATTCACCTGAAGGGATTGAAAACAGTGAAACTCGCCTAAGTTTACATTTACAATTTACCAATTGAATTTACAGAAGGTTGCAACACTTCTCTTTGCAAACTCATTCGGAATCATTAAAACGTTTGTGATCTCTTTTCTTGTGGCTATAGTTATTTTTTAAGAACAATATTTAGAGGACCACTTTTTTAATACATTTCGTGTCTACGGCCAATAAATCCCCTTTTCATGTACTTATCTTGGCATTAATGAATTGTCTCTTATCCGAAAAACCATAAACATTTTAAGATACGAAAATTTTTCAAGATTTATATTTTTTTCCTCCTAGATATATGGAAATATTGTTTTTCAACCTTAAAAAAAAAAAAAAAAAAAAAAAAAAAAA